GGTCTTGAGATGAAAAACCGTGACAGACGCACACGCGGACACACAAATACACAGACACACAGACAACCTCTTGTCAGTATGCGTTTTTCGCATTGCATTGCTGCAAAAAACGCATAAGAAAGAAAATGTGAATAAAATAAGATTAAAATCTGAATAGGAATGTTTCGGTCCATCAAGTCGTATACATTCCTCTTCAGTGCTGCAACTGGATTTGCTTAGTAAGGAAGATGCGCACCTGCAAAGTAAGGCCCGAAACGTATAGATTCGTGATCATGATATTTAGCATTTCAGAGAATGTGGCACAAAACAAGCGCATAAATCAGAAACAGCGGCCACCGTCACTGGGACTGAGGTATGCTATTTGTACATAAAGTATTTGTTCATTTCTAGTTCATTGGTTCCTGTTCGTTACTACAGCACTACAGCTTACTGTTAATGTACAGGTCACGAGCTCTTCTACAGTCTTCGTTTTTTCTTTTTTTTTTCTTTTTTTTTTGAAAAAATCAAGCCAATTGCTCATTTTCTGTGCGTTTTTCCAGCTTTATGCAAATGCATTAAATAGGAGCATGCACCAGGGTAGCTCGTGCGATCATGCGTGCTTTTGTCCTTATATTTGCTGTTAGAAGTGCATACTGCAAAAGCAGTCGAAATGTCTGGTTCACGAACCTACGATGTCTCCCACCGAAAACTTCAGGCACCGCTCGTGAGGCATGTAGACACACGCGTGAAGAAAAAAAAATACCGATGGTTTTAGCGTCCCGGGTTTGTATGGTTTTAGATGCAGTTTCCGTGGTTGAGCAAAACATTCCGATGATTTCTGCGCGTGCCAGGTAGCAAATCAGCAAACTTTTTTAACAGCAAATGTTTATCAGATAGAACTACACAAAACTGCCCTAATGTCGCTATTTATTTAAAATGTTGATGCCCTTTCGGAACCGAGCAACATTTGGCAATGTTTATCATCCGTGGATGCTGCAGCAGCTTGTTGGCTGTTCACCTTCATCGATCGTACTTCTCATCTCTGGATTTATTAATCGATTTTTCAACTAGTGCCTAGAATTCCCAATTTTAGAGGAGTGAAGCGCCATTGGAAAGATTGGCGGCCGCAGCGAATTCAGTAATCAGTGAGGGTGACTCAAGTGAAAGTAACCATATGCCAGCAGTTCAAAAATATGATGTTAAAGTGACAACGATAGAGCCAGAAGGCGTTTCGAAAACAGCCGGTCACCTGCCGGAAAACGAGACGTCTAAGGATGCGCAGAACTTACAAGCACAGGATGATACTCCTTTAGTCGTCAGTGTAGAGGAGGGAGGTGCGAAATTGGAGGAAGAGAGTTTTGAGGCCGAGGAAGAAGCGGATGCCACGACAGTGAAACAAAATGCTGCCGAATCGAGAGAAGCAAATGACGAAGCGGGGAAAACTGACACCGAGGCACAGAAAGCGTTTGCGCAGGCCCAGGAAATTAATGGTGATGCAGGACGGGCGGCCTGTGGCGATGCAAAGAAGACAGATAATGGTGTGGATGAAGAAGAAGCGGTCAAAGTTCAGAAGGTATGGTTATTTTGAATTTTTCCAAGCTGTAGATCTGCCACAAAATGCAGATTATTGCATTTATTTTCATTGACTGTTTGCCTTTTCTGTGTTAGTTCCGTCTCCCATTTCTCTGATCTTTTGCTGTACTTCAGTTGACAGATTTGAATTGAGTGCTGCACTTCTTGTCTAATGCACATAATGTACATATGATTTCCTTAGTTAGTTACGGGACGGATAAGAGTACTGCTTGTTTGAACCGAAACGTCTTATCTCACTCTCACCACCAATCTTCATTACGTTCTCTTGCATTTGCGCATCCCACCATCTACACTTCCAAGGTTGACCTGGAAGCTGCAATCTACTTGAACCATTCCCGGCCCGTTCAGGCATGGTTTTTTATGCAGCCTAAAGATGAAACACTGACAGCCGCCTTCACATCGTTATTGACACACACACGCACAGATGTGCTGTAGGTGCATTAACACTGCCGGCTTCTTCTTATGCATCAGTTTCGACACTCCTTTTAAATTCACGTCTGATGCGACTGATGAATGATGAGCATTATCACTTCCCACGCATTTTTCAACCTTATCTTTACCCCCTCCATCTTTTTCACTCCGCTATGGTGTCAGTGCTTTTTTAATGCCGTTAGGACGGCCGAGTATTCGGGGGCGGGTGTTGCGCCCACTTAATTCGGCCGAAAGCTTAAAAGTGACCAAATTCGTGAATGTTAAGCAAGTTGCTAAAAGAGAAGGATATACTTTTCAGACGAAGCTCTTATCTTGCAAGGATTATTGTTGAAATGTAAATCACTTTTTTTGTTTTGCTCCTGCTGACATATTCGTGCAGCATCTTTCGCGCGTCAGTTGGCACATTATTTTTATGTGCACTTTAAATGACTTGTTTCGAAAAAGTTGCGCAGAATCACGTGTAACGCATTTCACAGGAAGGCGTTGCGGCAAGCAGCCAAAAAGGAGATACAAGTGGCTGTAAAGCGAGCGATGATGATGCAGCAGTGCTGGAGCGACGCAAAAGTTTGCGAGTGCGAAAAAATATTTTTGGTGAAAATGCGCTGGCAAAGAAAGAATCGACAGCCGAAGAGCGGCGAAAAAGTTCACGTATGATGAAGAGAACACCGGCTAAAGTGTAAGTTAATTTACGCAGTGAGAGAGAGGAAGTGATGCTTCGTCAAGACCATATTCCTTTCAGCAGCCTGGAAAGCAGTGCACCCGTTGTCGCGACCCTAACTGTTAACTTATTAGGCTAGTGTCTGCCCCGGTTGTAGAAGTGTGTGTATGTGTGTACGACGTCGTGTCTTTATATACGTATGAATACATAGTAAGTTAAAGCGATAATGCATACAAAGGTGGTAAGGCTCTAGGGAGCCGAAGC